TTCCATTCTTGTGGCATGTTTGGGCGGTGGTATGGAACATACACTCGATGGTCGAGTTGAGTGCCGTAAGTTGATATCAACGAGCTTTGTTTGTAACCCAACGTTAAGTTGATATCAACGATCTCAAGAGCTTTGTTTGTAATCCCAACTTCCTTGTGAGTTGGTATCAACGATCTCAAGAGCTTTGTTTGTAATCCAACGTTGAGTTGATATCAACGATCTCAAGAGCTTTGTTTGTAATCCAACGTTGAGTTGATATCAACGATCTCAAGAGCTTTGTTTGTAATCCAACGTTGAGTTGATATGAACGATCTCAAGAGCTTTGTATGTAATCCAACGTTGAGTTGGTATCAACGATCTCAAGAGCTTTGTTTGTAATCCAACTTCCGTGTGAGTTGGTATCAATTATCTCAAGAGCTTTGTTTGTAATCCAACGTTGAGTTGATATCAACGATCTCAAGAGCTTTGTATGTAATCCAACGTTGAGTTGATATCAACGATCTCAAGAGCTTTGTTTGTAATCCAACGTTGAGTTGATATGAACGATCTCAAGAGCTTTGTTTGTAATCCAACTTCCGTGTGAGATGGTATCAATGATCTCAAGAGCTGTGTTTGTAATCCAACTTCCGTGTGAGTTGATATCAATGACCTCAAGAGCTTTGTTTGTAATCCAACTTACACAGAAAGTCATACAGGGATCATCGCCTTTTATGAACCCATAACTTTACCAGTATGATCTTGTGTCTTAAAAATGGACATATAACTGTAATGTGAACTTAGGACTTCAACTGCTGTATTTGATTGAGGTCAGCGACCTGTGTGAACTCACGACTTAACACTTCAGGATGAAGTACAGCATGACACCCCAACTGTCAACATGATAAATGTGTAGGGACAGGTTATTTATACCTCGTACCTGATGGTCCCGTGGGTTCTAGACTGCTGGGGTAAAATAAACGGACGTTGGAAACTACTGAGGGGAGGTCAGACTGTTTTTATGCTAAATGTTGCTAAGTTAAATTCCAAGGGAGGTCGCTATGTTATCGGTTTAGTGATGTTTTTTTAATCAGAGGATTCTGTTTGTTAAATGGATTAAAACTGCATAAAAGCTAATGTTGTGTCGATAAAATTTTAAAATATGCCGGCAAAAATTTGTTTAGTAATTCAAGAGTTGGGGGAAAGTTACGTGATCCTCCTTTACCTATTGTGACATCCAGCTAAATATTCAACCTTTTTTGCCAGACTCCTGTTAGGTACCATGTTAGTTATACTGTTGGGCTGGTTAACTGACCCTCCCTGACGGCCATATTAGGTAGACTGACCCTCTCCGCTGTCCATGTTTTGTACTGACCCTCCCCAGGTTTCCCACGGAGTAAAATATCGGAGTAAAAAAAAATGACGTGGAGCTTCCTCCCACCGCCCCAGCATACGCCTCGAGCGGCTGGACGTTAACAGGATATGACGTCACGGTGAACACGACATTCCCCGTGAGCCGAGAATGTTTACCTGACGTGTGTACGAGTAATGGGGAGATAACCGCTCCCGTCTTCTGGCCATCCCCACCTCAACCTGCATCTGATGGCTGGCCACTTGGCCACTCGGTGCAGGTAGATCACGTGACGATGCTTCCTCCCTTCCCCCTCCTGTAGCCTATAACGGTCACTGATACTGATCTCGTGTAGGTAGATCACGTTGAGCTAAATATCCATTATATCCTGCTCTCTCTCACCCCCTCCCCCTTAGTTTATAGAAGTGACTAGTTAGGTGTAAACTGTTCACGTTTTAGCTCATAATATATACCTATAAACCCACCTCTTACTAGCCCCCCCCCCCCCCCCCCTCACCACATCCAGATTAGATTGGAAAATAAAGTAGCCAACCAGCTTCATTAATTTTGAATTTTTAAAAGATCTCTACCCAGTATTCAAATAAGAGGTGTATAAGTATACCGCTGAATTAACTGGCGTGGTATAACTATGCCAGTATAGCAGCATGACAACAAAAATTAAAAATTAGCCAAATTATACATTATAAAAAATGAATACAGACCATGCATTCCTGGGGAATTCAGTTTCCTGGTTATCTCTGTGAGAATCAACAGAAACAAAAACCATGTTGAAGCTTCAAATCTTTTAATGCAGGTGTGAATACCTGTAAGTGGTGATAAGTTTTACAATTTTTTTTTTAGATCTGGTGGTGTATGGTTTATAAGTATAAGTGCACTGTCAAAATGGCCCAGACAAAAACGATCCCGACATTTCGGCTATAACATATTGGCCTCCGACGTTAGGGTTTGCGACAATATTGCACTCAACAAAGATGGCTCGTATTGGCAGAGGCGTAGTGGGGGGGGGGGCATATGTCCCCGGGCGCCGACCATAGGGGGGGCGCCAAATTGAAAGTTTGAGGGGGGTGCAAATGAAAAGTTTGAGGGGGGGGTGCAAATCGAAAGTTAGTCCCGGTGCAGGGAGGAAGGGTCGCTACGCCTCTGCGTAATGGAAGTTCACATGTAAATAAAGAAAAACGTGCTCCAGTATCTCACAGCTTTTTTTTCTCTAGATGTTGTGAATCATTGATGACAAACAGAAACTATTTTTTATCTGTTGCCATCAATATCCTGAGGCTTGTTACCAGCTGTAGAAAATCTTCCATGATGACTAACATGCAGGCTTTTGCCTGTAGCTCTGCACAGATTCCACAGTGTAAACATTCAACTAATTAGTGCCTGCTCGTTTGATTCCACGGATCTTAACATTTGGGGATCCCTGTGTAAACTGTTGGTGGTTTTGTAAGGCGGTTAATGTGATGTGGTGATTTATTTAGATTTTTTAAATGATGGGCTGGTGGTATATCTTGTCTGTCAGTAATTCTTATTTAGCTGATGTGTGTGTGTGTGTGTGGGGGGGGGGGGGGGGGGTGATGAATTGTGATAGGTTTGTTATGTGAAGTTAGGCAGTGTTTGTAATAGGGTTATGTTTTTAATGTTGTATACGGCCGTGCTCAAGGTGTGGGATAAGGCCATGTTTGTGATGTGGGTTAAGACAGTGTTTGTGATGTGTGATAGGGCAGTGTTTGTGATGTGGTATAAGGCAGTGTTTGTGATGTGTAATAGGGCAGTGTTTGTGATGTTTGATAAAGCAGTGTTTGTAATGTGGGATAAGGCAGTGTTTGTGATGTGGGATAGGGCAGTGTTTGTGATGTGGAATAAAGCAGTGTTTGTGATGTGGTATAAGGCAGTGTTTGTGATGTGTAATAGGGCAGTGTTTGTGATGTGTTATAGGGCAGTGTTTGTGATGTGTTATAGGGCAGTGTTTGTGATGTGTAATAGGGCAGTGTTTGTAATGTTTGATAAGGCAGTGTTTGTGCTGTGGGATAGGGCAGTGTTTGTGATGTGGAATAAAGCAGTGTTTGTGATGTGGGTTAAGACAGTGTTTGTGATGTGTAATAGGGCAGTGTTTGTGATGTGGGCAGTGTTTGTGATGTGGTATAAGGCAGTGTTTGTGATGTGGTATAAGGCAGTTTTTGTGATGTGGGATAGGGCAGAGTTTGTGATGTGGGCAGTGTTTGTGATGTGTTATAGGGCTGTGTTTGTGATGTGGGATAGGGAAGAGTTTGTGATGTGGGCAGTGTTTGTGATGTGTTATAGGGCAGTGTTTGTGATGTGGGATAGGGCAGTGTTTGTGATGTGGAATAAAGCAGTGTTTGTGATGTGGGATAGGGCAGTGTTTGTGATGTGTTATAGGGCTGTGTTTGTGATGTGTTATAGGGCTGTGTTTGTGATGTGGGATAGGGCAGTGTTTGTGATGTGTTATAGGGCAGTGTTTGTGATGTGGGATAGGGTAGTGTTTGTGATGTGGGATAGGGCAGTGTTTGTGATGTGGGATAGGGCAGTGTTTGTGATGTGGGATAGGGCAGTGTTTGTGATGTGTTCCTGTGTTTGTGACAGAAACGTGCATATAATGTCAGTCAACTAGATGTGTAACAGCCTTGCGTTACTGGTAGAGTTGTGTCACATCCCTATTGTAAAGTCATTGAACTAGAACTAATTCTTGACTGAGACTTGAGTCATGTCACATCCCTATTGTAAAGTCATTGAACTAGAACTAATTCTTGACTGAGACTTGAGTCATGTCACATCCCTATTGTAAAGTCATTGAACTAGAACTAATTCTTGACTGAGACTTGAGTCATGTCACATCCCTATTGTAAAGTCATTGAACTAGAACTAATTCTTGACTGAGACTTGAGTCATGTCACATCCCTATTGTAAAGTCATTGAACTAGAACTAATTCTTGACTGAGACTTGAGTCATGTCACATCCCTATTGTAAAGTCATTGAACTAGAACTAATTCTTGACTGAGACTTGAGTCATGTCACATCCCTATTGTAAAGTCATTGAACTAGAACTAATTCTTGACTGAGACTTGAGTCATGTCACATCCCTATTGTAAAGTCATTGAACTAGAACTAATTCTTGACTGAGACTTGAGTCATGTCACATCCCTATTGTAAAGTCATTGAACTAGAACTAATTCTTGACTGAGACTTGAGTCATGTCACATCCCTATTGTAAAGTCATTGAACTAGAACTAATTCTTGACTGAGACTTGAGTCATGTCACATCCCTATTGTAAAGTCATTGAACTAGAACTAATTCTTGACTGAGACTTCAGTTACGTCCCATGTCTGTAGCGTAGGCATTCAACTAGCGCGAATGCTGAGCTAACACAATTGAGTTAAACACTACTTAAAGCAGTGGACTGCTGATACACTGTGTGTCTATGATTGACCATCTTAAAGCAGTGGACTGCTGATACACTGTGTGTCTCTGATTGACCATCTTAAAGCAGTGTACTGCTGATACACTGTGTGTCTATGATTGACCATCTTAAAGCAGTGGACTGCTGATACACTTTGTGTCTATGATTGACCATCTTAAAGCAGTGGACTGCTGATACACTGTGTGTCTATGATTGACCGTTGGTTTGTCTCCCACAGCTGACATCTATGACCAAGTGGTGGCCATGATTGAGGACAAAGGTTTGGACTGTGAGATTTTAGGAGGTGGCCGGATAGAGCACGAACCTGCCAAAAAATCCATCAAGATCTACGGCTATTCACAGGTGAGAGATACCTTTACACCACGAGTCTTCTGCTTATACTGATGTTATGATTTTACTTTAATTAAAGCCCCCTGACTTTGGTTCAACTGTTACAAAAATACTGTTTTTAAGATTACATTGCTATTATAATCCCACTGTTTTGATCAAACTGTTACTGTATCCCAATCATTATGATTACACAACAACACAACTCTAATCTTCTCTAACTATAATGCAACCAGCTGCCAGACCCATTTGTTTCCTCCAGGCTTTTATTTTCTTCTCCCTGCATGTTCGGATGTTGGGGTGGGTAGTGGGGGAGGGGGGGATTCAGGTGTGGATGAACTGCTGTCTTAAGCGCGTGATTATAAACTAGTCATTACCTGGTTTGAAATCATCTAACTTTACGCCATTACGAATCAGGGCTGCCCACATGTACGATTTCCTCCCGTAATTTTGGCACCGGGTTCCCATTACATGACTATGAAACTATGATTAAAACTGTGATCCGTTTCGGCTTCCTCAAACATTCGAAATAGATAACTAGATATCAGCGTTTAATCAGGAGTGTCATATCATTGTGTTTTATACTTGGACTCAGCTGGTTAAAATTATAGTACTGTTGGCTGATTACTTTAAGTACACATGCCGTCTGTTGGCTGATTACTTTAAGTATACATGGCGTCTGTTGGCTGTTACTTTTAGTATACATGCCGTCTGTTGGCTGTTACTTTAAGTATACATGCCGTCTGTTGGCTGGTTACTTTACGTACACATGCCGTCTGTTGGCTGTTACTTTAAGTATACATGCCGTCTGTTGGCTGTTACTTTACGTATACATGCCGTCTGTTGGCTGTTACTTTAAGTACACATGCCGTCTGTTGGCTGTTACTTTAAGTATACATGCCGTCTGTTGGCTGTTACTTTACGTATACATGCCGTCTGTTGGCTGTTACTTTACGTATACATGCCGTCTGTTGGCTGTTACTTTACGTATACATGCTGTCTGTTGGCTGTTACTTTAAGTATACATGCCGTCTGTTGGCTGTTACTTTACGTATACATGCCGTCTGTTGGCTGTTACTTTAAGTATACATGCCGTCTGTTGGCTGTTACTTTACGTATTCATGCCGTCTGTTGGCTGTTACTTTAAGTATACATGCCGTCTGTCGGACTCCACCCCCCCCCTACACATATGGTACGGCGTGTTGGGATTGTTCAGTCTGTGGTGTGAACCTTCTCTGACCTGAGGAATATACTGCGGCTACGAGGCTATTGGTTGGTGTTAGATATCTAGCTTTAAATACTCATCAAGTACAAACAGGGTGCCAATGATTTAGACTACTATTGTTCATGAATAATAGCGATTACACAGACAGTCGTGATAAAAAAATACACGAACGTCTTGGTTATTTATTGGATTATCACTAGCCGACTGCTCGCAGTTCGTCAATTACTTAATAAAACATATATTTAGCCTACATATTGAAAATACTACACCTATACATTTAGTGATAATATCAAATTGAACTTAATGCTACCGTGTATGCAAAAAAATGTGGGATACGTATTTTTTCTTTCGAAAGTAAGGGACAGAAGGCCTTTTCCATGAACTATCAAAGAAAATCTATGATTATTTCGGGGGTGTAGACAGAACTGCCAATTGTTTTCTACCTGAGACTTTCTTTGACCCTCCACAAGCTGTTGTTACCGTGGCCTTTACCTGTCTCCCCCTGCTGCTTACGTGTCTTCTGGCCTCCACACATCTGATCAGCGTCTGCACCTTTAATTGTTACATCAGACTGTGGTGGGGAAACATACCTAGTGACATTAGCTGTTAGTAGAGAAACATCCCTAGTGACATCAGCCTCTAGTAGAGAAACATCCCTAGTGACATCAGCCTATAGGAGCAACATCTCTAGTGACATCAGCCTATAGGAGCGACATCCCTAGTGACATCAGCCTATAGTAGAGAAACATCCCTAGTGACATCAGCCTCTAGTAGAGAAACATCCCTAGTGACATCAGCCTATAGGAGCAACATCTCTAGTGACATCAGCCTCTAGTAGAGAAACATCCATGTAGTACCTGTAGTACCTGACCTATTTGTCAGCCTGAAACTAGAATGCCAGCAGTGTAGGGTAAGGGGTGGTGTGAGATGGCCAGGTATTGATAACCTGTGTTCCTGCTATCAAAACAGCCAGGTGGGAGGTGGGGGTGGCTGGCAAGGTGGGGGTGGCTGGCAAGGTGGGGGTGGCTGGCGAGGGAGGGATCAATCAAGGAACTGTCTGACAGCACACAGATGTAGAGTTGGACCTGAGTAGGCTTGTACACATTAGCATTCTTCCATCATTAGCTGATTGTAATAATGGTACATACTCATTAGCATTCTTCCATCATTAGCTGATTATAATAAAGGTACTTACACATTAGCATTCTTCCATCATTAGCTGATTGTAATAATGGTACATACACATTAGCATTCTTCTATCATTAGCTGATTATAATAAAAGTACTTACACATTAGCATTCTTCCATCATTAGCTGTACCATGGCTGATTATAATAATGGTACATACACATTAGCATTCTTCTATCATTAGCTGATTATAATAAAGGTACTTACACATTAGCATTCTTCCATCATTAGCTGATTATAATAATGGTACATACATATTAGCATTCTTCCATCATTAGCTGTACCCTGGCTGAATATAATAAAGGTACTTACACATTAGCATTCTTCCATCATTAGCTGTACCCTGGCTGATTCTAATAATGGTACATACACATTAGCATTCTTCCATCATTAGCTGTACCATGGCTGATTATAATAATGGTACATACACATTAGCATTCTTCCATCAGTAGCTGTACCATGGCTGATTATAATAATGGTACATACACATTAGCATTCTTCAATCATTAGCTGCTTGTAATAATGGTACATACACATTATCATGCTTCCATCATTAGTCTAGCTTTACCCTGACTGATTATAATAATGGTACATACTCATTAGCAGTCTCCCATCATTACTATTATTTTTCTGTACATCTTTATTTCTGTGTACACATTAGCATCATGTGCAGCTGTGTTTGTTTGTATAGGACAGTATGGTCAAGTAATAGAGCACTCATATCATCCTTCAGCCATGTCAAATACCTGACTCAATTAGTATATAAGGCAGAGTCAGCAGAAGCTGACCCACTTAACCTGACTGTTAGTATGAAAAGTCAGCTAAACTAAGAACTCACCACAATGCCATGGTTAAAATTTAAAAAAAATCTTTGTATCTATTCTATGGGCTGCTAGGTTTGCACAATTACTTATAAAATGTTTGTGTAACTAGTTAAAATAATGACGGGAACAAAGTAAAACAATTTTTGGGTATGTCTAGTTGTATGATTACAAATTTTAAAGTGTGGACAGATGCTTGTGGTATTGGAACCCCCACCATCATGACTGGATATATGACTAGTTGTGTGTGTATGTTGGGACCTTTACAACCTGAGATTACAAATTTTAAAGTGTGGACAGATGCTTGTGGTATTGGAACCCCCACCATCATGACTGGATATATGACTAGTTGTGTGTGTATGTTGGGACCTTCACATTATGATGTGTATATGACTAGTTGTGTGTGTATGTTGGGACCTTTACAACCTGACGGGTACATGACTAGTTGTGTGTGTATGTTGGGACCTTTACAACCTGACGGGTACATGACTAGTTGTGTGTGTATGTTGGGACCTTTACAACCTGACGGGTACATGACTAGTTGTGTGTGTATGTTGGGACCTTCACAACATGACTGGGTATAGGACTAGTTGTGTGTTGGGACCTTCACAGCATGATGCATATATTAGTGTGTTTGTTGGAAGCCAGACAGACAGATGAAAGTGCTGATGTGTAATGTTAGATGCCACTGTTTTGTTGGCGTGAGCAGTGTGGGAATTGGCATGGGCTTGATTCATGCAGATAAGAAATGTAGAGCACTTGAAAGAACTGGCTGGAGTTTGATGCCAACAGGATGAGCTGACTCCACCCTATAGTCAACTCTTCTACTCCATATCAATTTGGCAGGCCATTGTGGTATAGCCTGTTTAGCTTGGCTATTGGCAATTTTATATGTGTCTTTGCTCATCTCCCCCTCTTCACCCCATCTTTGTCTCACCTCCCATCCCCACTCTAGAAGTTTTAAGGAAATGATGAGATCAAAAGAACAGATATCTAGGACAAGACCAATGCTCTAGTAGCCTACTTAAGAAATTGGAATTTGAGATTCATGCTTGGTTTGGTTATTTAGATAAAATTTATAAAAGGCTTGTAATTATTAACTTATTTTTAAAAAGCTAGCAATTAAAAATATTTTTGTTGCATCTTATCTTTATGATGTTCATTGTTTGCAAATGTCCAACATCTTGCCAGCTTCATGTGTTTATGAGAGAATTGAAAAACAACAGCTGTGTTTGAGATAAGAACATTGTTCTTCTGTGAAAACATGCAATCACGTAGCTAGACTAGTGCGTCTGTGAAAACATTGTGTGCAACCACATAGCTAGACTAGTGCGTCTGTGAAAACATTGTGTGCAACCACATAGCTACACTAGTGCGTCTGTGAAAACATTGTGTGCAACCACCTAGGCAGTCTAGTGCGTCTGTGAAAACATTGTGTGCAACCACCTAGGCAGTCTAGTGCGTCTGTGAAAACATTGTGTGCAACCACCTAGCTAGACTAGTGCGTCTGTGAAAACATTGTGTGCACCCACTAGCTAGACTAGTGCGTCTGTGAAAACATTGTGTGCGACCACCTAGCCAGACTAGTGCGTCTGTGAAAACATTGTGTGCAACCACCTAGCCAGACTAGTGCGTCTGTGAAATGTCTATCTGATGTCAGGCTGTATCGCTGGTCTGGCTAAATGACAGTGTTATCTCCAGACTTTGGTCTGCTGGAACTTTAACATTTCTACTGGCAGTACTGTCTATAGTTCAGGTAGATGTTGGTTTTAAATGTAACCACTGGGTACACTTTTGTTATTAAGGCATTGACTGTACTTCTTTTTAAGTGTCAAGTATACTTGCAGTACAATCAGTCTGTCAGTATGTACAAATGTGAGTACCACACTCATAGCAGAATCCGTTAAGAGTACCTTGGACAAGTATCAAGAAAACTAGTTGGCATCTATAAGATGTAGATGTTTATTGGAACATCTACCAGACACAAGTGTAGGTTCTGATGTGTTCCATAACATCTACTGGGCACAAATCTAGGTTCTAATGTGTTCCATAACATCTACCAGACACAAGTGTAGGTTCTGATGTGTTCCATAACATCTACCTTACACAAGTGTAGGTTCTGCTGTGTTCAATGACATCTACCTTACACAAGTGTAGGTTCTGATGTGTTCCATAACATCTACCTTACACAAGTGTAGGTTTTGATGTGTTCCATAACATCTACTGGGCACAAGTTTAGGTTCTGCTGTGTTCAATAACATCTACTGGGCACAAGTGTAGGTTCTGATGTGTTCCATAACATCTACTGGGCACAAGTGTAGGGTCTGATGTGTTCCATAACATCTACTGGGCACAAGTGTAGGTTCTGATGTGTTGCATAATATCTACCTTACACAAGTGTAGGTTCTGATGTGTTCCATAACATCTACCTTACACAAGTGTAGGTTCTGATGTGTTCCATAACATCTACTGGGCACAAGTTTAGGTTCTGATGTGTTCCATAACATTTACCTTACACAAGTGTAGGTTCTGATGTGTTCCATAACATCTACCTTACACAAGTGTAGGTTCTGATGTGTTCCATAACATTTACCTTACACAAGTGTAGGTTTTGATGTGTTCCATAACATCTACTGGGCACAAGTTTAGGTTCTGATGTGTTCCATAACATATACTGGGCACAAGTTTAGGTTCTGCTGTGTTCAATAACATCTACTGGGCACAAGTTTAGGTTCTGATGTGTTCCATAACATCTACCTTACACAAGTGTAGGTTCTGATATGTTCCATAACATCTAATGGGCACAAGTTTAGATTCTGATGTGTTCCATAACATCTACCTTACACAAGTGTAGGTTCTGATGTGTTCCATAACATTTACCTTACACAAATGTAGGTTCTGATGTGTTCCATAACATCTACCTTACACAAGTGTAGGTTTTGATGTGTTCCATAACATCTACTGGGCACAAGTTTAGGTTCTGATGTGTTCCATAACATATACTGGGCACAAGTTTAGGTTCTGCTGTGTTCAATAACATCTACTGGGCACAAGTTTAGGTTCTGATGTGTTCCATAACATCTACCTTACACAAGTGTAGGTTCTGATATGTTCCATAACATCTACTTGTCCTAAGTGTCTGTTCAGGCACTTTTATTTTAAAAAAAAATAGCAGTAATGCTCCAAGTTTTGAACTGTTATGCATTCTTTAACTAATTATTGTATCAAAACTCTGACTAAGCTAATATTCAGCATACAAAATGTAAAAACAACAACTGTATGCTGCATCATCATCTCCCTTAAGCCCTAGTACATAAAAAAAAACAACCTCCACCACTGAAGATTTCCTCTCCTGTCTCTGCCTGTTTACGTACTAGATATGATGGAAGCTTTGTTTACTCTCTAATCTCTATGTGCTGGGCTCTAGAGAGAAGGGAAGACACTGCTAATAGAAATGTAAACAAGCTCTCCTGTTTTTTCCCCTTTGAAATTTATTTACAATGAAATAAACTTGAAGGTGGTGTGTGTTACCTGGAGGCAGATGAGCAGTGAATCTGCAGAGTGTGTGGGAGGTATTTGTGCAGGTTTAATGCACACAGGAGAGAATTGATGCCGCTCGCTCGTTATGTCAGGCATGAGCTTTGTTAGAACTTGGCATGTGGTGGTCTTTTAAGTTGGCGTCTCTATGTCCTGAGGGATGGTATTGTAAAACATTATCGTTAATCTTGTTATGATTAATATATTTAGTGGTAATGGTTGTTGGGGATGTTTTTAAGAAGGAATATGTGTACGCAGGTGTAAAAAGTTATGGACATACTGTTTATTTCACAATTAGGCTAGTGTTATGGTTAGCATAGTATTGTAAATATATGCAGTGGTGTAGTGAGGTCAGGTGTCACCTGGTGCGGCACTTAATGGTGTCACCCCCCAGAGGCGTAGGGACCCTTCCCGTGGACAAACTTTCAATTTTCGATTTGCATCTCCCCCCCCCCCCCAAACTTTTGATTTGCACACCCCCCCTCCCCCCTCAAACTTTTGATTTGCACCTTTTAAAAGACTATTTAACACTCAAATTAATCACTTAAGTGGAATTATCATTTTTCTCTATATATTTTGCTATTTTTTGCCTTGGTGTCACCCCCTAAATGGTGTCACCCAGTGCTGTCCGCACCCCCCCCCCCCCTTGCTACGCCACTGGATATATGTCATCAAAGCAAAGCATTTGTTGTAATGGATGTCTTTGTATTATTAATCTCATTAATGTCTTGGCTGGATCATCAAATGGCTGGAGGTGTTCTTTAATTCTTGTTGGTCCTCTCCAGCAATTGGGTCAAGCTGACCAATACTGGCCAGGTGTTTCTCTTATGTAACTTTGGTATTCATCTGTCCCCAGCTATGTGGTCGAGCTGACCAGATGTTACTCTTAAATGCTTTGTATTTACCTGTCTTATATAATTTTGTTTGAATTTACCTGTCTTGTAAAATTTGAATTTACCTCCCTTAAATAGTTTGTTTGAATTTACCTGTCTTAAATAATTTGTTTGAATTTACCTGTCTTAAATAATTTATTTCCTGTCTAATTTAACTTTCTTGCATTTCCCTGTCTTCCCCAACAGTTTGGTCAAGCTGACCAGATGTAACTCTTATATAATTTGTATTTACCTGTCTTATATAATTTGTAGTTACCTGTCCTATATAATTTGCAGTTACCTGTGTTATATAATTTGTATTTTCCTGTCTTATATAATTTGTATTTTAAACCTGTCTTATGTAAGTTCCCTTTCAAACTTGACGGTCTATAGGGCAAGTGAAGTAGAGTTCACTTGTTTCTGTGACTTCAGCATATGAAGAGATAGTGTGGTCAGCAGTATGCCCAGCCGTCTTTACTTTCCCTAACGTGAGTTAGGTACCCATCAGAGTTTGGTGGACTCAGGGACGGTCTACTGACTTGAACCCGGATTCGTTCTCGAGACTTACGCGTTAGCAGTCCAGCTCTCTACCGCTAGACCACTCCGTCCCCTTAATACATGTTTTATCTAATTTGCTTGTATTTCCCTGTGTTCCCCAGCAATTTGGTCAAGCTGACCATTCCATCACACACTCCCTGCTACTGAGGAAGTTCAAAGACTACGACCAAATCACCTGGAGCAATGAAGGCTACTAAACCCCACATTGTCTGGTCAGATCTGGGCGCTACTGGTCAGCAGCTGGTTCTGTGATTGACCAGTGTCCCCACATGATGTTATGAAGACGGCAAGAAAGAATCTGAGTACTCAAGGGGTGCAACTCACTCTTGGTTGGACTGTGTCTTTTTTTTACAAGATTTTTGTCTTCCTGTATGTACGAGTACCAGCACACTGCAGTATGTTGTATGTAGTTGGTGGAGCTGTAGCTGATCAATGTTGTCATGGTAACATTCTTAGACATAATACAGTAACCAAATAGATTTAGATTCTTCATGTCGATTATTTTGTTAAGATGATGACCATTTTCTTCATTTTTACTGGCTAGACAGTTCTTCCTATTGTCATTTTGAAAACCACAGAAATCACTTTATTTTTGTTAGATATATAATATGTATATTTATAAAATTTTAAATGTTCCATTATTTTTTTAATGTCCTGTTTTATTTCATTTTTTTTTAGAAGGGTGATGGATTTTTAAAATACCAAAAAACTTTTAAACCTTTATCACCTCTTTATTTAGATCTAAATATAATCAAATACAATACAAACTGATGTTACCTAGGTTACTGTAAGTAGTTTAAACCTCAGTCAAGTACAGGAACTCTCTTTTTTATAAGTTAGAAATTTTCTGTTTGTTGGATTTTTTTAATGTACAGATTAGGTACAGTTTTGCCTAGCTGTTGTAAAAAAAAAATGATTGTTAGATGTAGTAAAAAAAACAACTGGTCGCTGCCTCAAATATTTGGGTGCTATATCAAACCACATTAGGCCACACAATAAATAAAACGTATCAATTAACCTGTTATGAAAAAATCTTTATATATTGTGAGTAAAATTCTACATTTGAACAATGTTTCTACAAACAAATGGCTTGGATCTAAGGGCAGTTGGTTTATTTCTTGACCCGGGCCTATTGATACATGTTATTTTTGGCATAATTTGCCTTGAAATTGTTCCATTTTGTGCCTTTATTTAGATGTGTCTCTCAGTATTTGCATTGGTTTCCCTGTGAAGACCTACATTTTAGATCATGCCTAATTTGTCTAAATAATTTTTACTGCATTTATTGGTCAATAAATTTTTTTTTGTTTCATATCCTGCTTTACTTTTTAAAATTAAGAATTTATGGTTTTTAAAAATAGTTAAATTAGATACTTGTCACACTTCTAGCACTCATGATGGAAGGTCACTAGGTACATTATTAGCACATAGAGGGAGCATAGTTTGTCAGGTCAACAATTAGCATATAGGATGGACAAAAGGTCCTTAGGTCCACACACTATTGGCACATAAGGTTGGCACACAAGATTGGATACAGTTGTTAACCAGATTGCACACGTTTGGACAATGTTGGTAAATACCTTCTTCTGTCATAAAATAGCTGGGATAATTATGCAAGAAATCGGTCACTACAAAAGCTGACTTTTTGTACCATTTTCTTCGTGATTTTGTTAGACAACAAAGTCACCATATTACATTTTTGTTGAGAAAAAGTTACGGATTTGTCAACGCAAAAAATCAAATATTCACTTGTAATTTATTTGGCTATCTCCAACTAAAATGTAAAATTATTTTACGTTCTGATCATGTTTCACAATTTTTTGGCATATAATAATTTTTAAAAACTTACAAAAATCGCATCACATTGTGCTTATTCGCATTTATCTTTAGATATTACTTGTATGAGGGGAAAAAACGTAAGGACAGAAGGGTATTATTACACAAAATAATCACTTTCGTGGTAAAAAAAAAAACTTTGGGGCTGGCAACCTTCTTCTTCGTTCTTAATTTTTAGTGATGGAAGGGATCGAGCCTTATCTGCCAGAGGGTTGAACTCGAGACATTTTCGAATTTATCAACCATGAGCTTTTGTTGACTCGACCACGCCTCCATCACAATTAAGGATATGTATCAACTGGTTATGCGCCATTGAGGGACTCAGTCTGCTTTTCTTTTTGGATTTGCTTCCATAGCCTTTGTCCAACCAAGAAACTACAAAGCAGCAGTTGTTTGATTTTAGTGTTGTCTCTCCTAGAAGAGTTGCTGTCCCTAGTTGCCTCATCTGCCCGGCGGTTCGAGCTCGAGACTTTCGGTTTAGCAACCATGAGCTTTACCGACTCGACCACGGCAACCAATTATGGTATTGTGAAATTTCGTGCGTCTATTCTCTCTCGTAAATATTTTTAAAAAGTAAATTATAAAGCAATTGAAAAAAGGATCAAATTTAAAGGTCTTAAACACTTCACATGAAAAAAAGGGGTGATGGCCTGATGCTTAGTAATAATCGAATAGCATCTGACACTAGGGTCAATTTGTAAATAAAGGGAGATAACTAATAAAAAAATTATTTTACTTAACCGAAAGCAGTTAGTCTCCCTTTAACTAGTAAGTTTTACGTTTGACCTTTTGCATGCTAATGGACGAAGCGGTTAGACAAACACTGACGGGCTTTATAGAAACTCCAAGATTGATCTTCTGTTAACGCCATTTTGTCGTAACTTGAACTCAAAACTTTGCCGATACAATTTTAAAATAAAATTTACAATAAAAACGACATGAACTAGTTATGCAATGTTTCTCAATTTAAAAAAAAAAGAAATTAAAAAAAAATAATTGTTTCAATTATTTTTTTCTATAAAATTAGTTTGTTGATGTGTCATCTGAAACTAATTTTTCTTGAAATAACGAAAAATTGAACAAAACAGAAAAAAACAACTCTCTGGCAAAGAGTGGTGTTTAATGTATTTAATGTATTATAGCAAAGCACTTTATATTTTACCTCAAATATTTAAAATGAAAAAAAAAGAGAGCAGGGGGCTATATTTCTTCGTAATAGCAGAGCTGCATCTGGATGTCGTTGATCTGCCCGTCCGGGTGATACTCGTTGTCGTAGGCGTCGGTGTTGGTACTGTCCGTGTCAAAGGTCATTTCCTCCGCCGTGACCTTCATCCCCACCACTTCCTGGCAGTTCCCGCCGAACCGGTACAAGTAGAAGGGGCGGGCCGTGGGGAGGTAGACGGTGTCGTAGGGCGAGCTGTCGTTCCGGCAGCAGTAGAAGATCTTGGCCGAGCCAACAGCGAACGTCCCGTCAGGCAGCGTGCCGCTCACCGCTGCCGCCGAGCCGGTTCGTTCTTCGTTCCACGCGACCGACCCCGTCTCGAACCCGCTGGGGCATTTGTCCCCTTTCCTGTTGATGCAGTACGAGCCCCGGGGCCAAGCCGCCCCGGGGGAGAGGGTGGTGGACACGCAGAAGTGCTGGTACATAAAATTATTCGTTCCAGCTCTTTCTAGAATGGGATTTCTCAAGTGATTAACAGTGGACACGTGATCGTAGTTTCTGTCCGTCGATTCCGTGTGGAACTTCCGGAAACCCGTCGTCCAGATAGCCCCGACGTTATTCGGACATCCGTCTTGTGGCATGAGCAAGGCGTAGGTCCCCTCCGGCCAGTACTGAAGAACCCCCGTCTCCATCAATCTGTTAACATCCGTCCTCAACGCGCTGATCTCCGCTCGCAGTGTATTCTCCAGAATCAGGTCATTACTGGCTTGTTCCGTTTTCATTCTATTTATAACCGCCATCAGCCTCGCTTCCGACGCAGCCACTTCCGCGTCGCAGTAGCTCTTCAGCTCAACGCGGTCCTTGAGCAACAACTCCAGAACATCGTACGCCGTGACATTGGTCTCCGTGACGGAAATTACCGGAGACTTCTCGTTCATCGGATCCTGGTTTAAATCGAAACCCAAAACATCGCATCGGTAATGCCCGAAAACATCAAAAGAAGCGACGGGCCAGGTGATCTCTATAAAAGACGAAGCCACAGTCCCAATGTGAGCTGTGACGTAGATGGACGGGTCCAACCCGATGACGTGAACGTTATCCTCGTTGTCGCGTTTCTCCACGATGGGCTCGAACGCCTCGCTGTTGGACTGACGCATGATGCGGATCATGGTGATTTTCTCCAGGCGGCTCAGCGCGCTCTCGCCCCAGAAGCTGCACTGGACCGTGACGTTCTCTGTGATGCCAGCCTCGATCTTGTGCGGGGTCACGGTCAGCAGGAAGGACGCCTGGCTGGCGCCCACAGCACACAGCACCAGCAGCCACAAGACGGACATCTCAGTAGTCCCTGATACAACAAAAAAAAACCCACCTATTGTATTACCATTGTTAAAACTAAATTACTTAAGCAGGCTACATGTGGACGTCTATATGTTGAATTTTAACATTGAAGTGCTTACATTTTAAAATACACATATAACTCGTATTCCTGCCCTGCATGTTAAATAGAAAAATTAAGAAAAAAAATCATATCCCGAAGCACGGTATTTATATCTACACCGGGTCATCCATACCATAAGCGACATCATGATTTTTAATGATTTTTAACTCCCCCCCCCCCCCCGTCAACTTCACTCATTTTACAAAAGGCCATGCCCCAATGCCGAAAATGACGCCATACCTCAGTCTACAACCCTTCTAAAAATTTATAATTTAAAAAAAAAAAAAAAAGCAAAAAGCAGTTTTTTTTTCTAAAAAAAATTATTAACTCGGTTATAGTTGAAAAGGCCTAGATTGATTTTTATTAATTTTTTTGTTTAATCCACACGAAGCAAAGTCTTTGACTCAGTTTCTAGCATCATTGCAAAAGCTTTTTTTTTCACTTTCTGAACCCCACCCCACTACCACCCCTCCGGAGTGTTACGTCATTTATGGACGACCCCGTTTCAAATTAGCACTTCTTTGTCAAGCGTGCGATCAAGTGAACAGAAATAGAGGCTGTGAACCCGAGATGGCATTGAAACATACATTTCATAAACGAAATATGAAATACACCCAAAGAGTAAGAGAACAATACTTTTAATTTTAGTACTTTATAATTTCATTAGCGTTTTTTTTTTTTTTTTGAGAAATCGGAAATAGTGTAAATTACTACTTTCGGTCAAAATTTGACAGAAGGTAGAAAAGTAGATATTTTACTAATATATGAAATTTCGTTTATCTATCTGAAACAGTGCTCAAGTTATAGGCTTTTGAAAAACTAAAAGTAGAATAAGTCTCACTTCCGGTTATCGGAAATCGCTGAAAAGTTGAAACAGAACTACAAATTTGATATAATATTTATATACAAAATTTCATCAACCTAGCTGTAACGGTACTCAAGTTATCGTGTTCACAGACATACACACACACATACACACAGACATACGGACATAATTGCAAAGCCCAATTTTTCCGACTCGATTGCGCATAGAACACCGGAATTTTGATAAACCTGCATTTATTATTTTTGCCCGATTAAAATAAGTCCCCTATACTCCGTAAATGATAAAGTAAAACGGTGAAAACGGTCAACATTTCATGTGATTTTTGTCCACGATTACAATACTTCCTGTATACTCTGTATACGAGAAACTAAAAACACATCAGGAATCGCTGGTTATGTACTTAGTGTCCACACTACATTAATAATGTAATAAAATAAACTTACAATTTTTTTTTAGTCACAACTGCGTCGAATTGATATGACTTAGCGGAAGGTTTGAAGTCAAATAATCTTCAAACTTCGGGATGAAATAAATAATGAAAGATAACAAATTATTTTTATTCAAAATAAACAAAGTTAAAAAAAAATACAAAAGGACACTGCAAGGTTAAGTACAGTTACGTTTTTTAGATTACCCCATTATCGTCCACTGCAGAACTCTCATTCGTGGGAAGATAATACGAGAAATACTATCATGCAGCAAGAACGATAACTCGAGTTGCATTAAGTGCCCTTGAGTAATCCGTGTCCCGTTCTTGCGATAACATTAGTAAGTTTGTGTTTGGTTTGCACAAGGCGGCAGAGATGATTGAAACACAGCCATGCCTCGGCCAACGAACAAGCTGGTTGAATTATACAGACACGCCTCAAACACCGAACATCTGGCATTGAATATTTTCAACAACGTCAGCGCATCGAATAATCCGTGAAATGCCTCACACAACGAACAATTCGTGGTCGTTGATGCTTCTTACTACGAATACATAACCTTTATCTTATTACATAGAACATTACTGTCATGAGTAGTTGTCCTGGGATATGCATGACACTTTTAAGGAAACACTCTACTTCACCTGCATCGTGAGATATTCAGTTACCTAGAGATAATTTAAAAAGTAACAACCTCGTATATGTTGGGGGGTGGGGGAGGGGTATTATGGAGTTGTTGAAACTTGAGAGATATCGAGAAAAAACATTCCACTAACGATACGAGTTGCACAGCGGTTTTAGAAACTTTTTCATGATAATGACCGACTCACACATCATGGTAGATGTTATTGTTACACATCACACACCGTGGTAGTTGTCATTCCTGGGATAACAGTCAAAAGGTCAAAAGGTCAGTATGGACGCCACAAGGCCGGGACGTGGGGTGCGGCCTTCACGGGCTGACACCATCAGATGTGCTGACACCATCAGATGTGCTGACACCATCAGATGTGCTGACATCATTGGATGGGCTGACACCATTAGATGGGCTGACACCATTAGGATGGGCTGACACGACCATTAGATGGGCTGACACCATTAGAGGGGGTGACACCACCAGATGGGCTGACACCATTAGATGGACTGACACCATTCGAGGGGGTGACACCATCAGATGGGCTGACACCATTAGAGGGGGTGACACCATTAGAGGGGGATGACACCACCAGATGGGCTGACACCATTAGATGGACTGACACCATTAAGGGGGATGACAACATCAGATGTGTTGACCACCATCAGATAGGCTGACACCATTCGGGGGGGGGGGGGGGGGGGGGGGTGACACCTTGAGTTATCGTATTGGGTCTCACCCACCCAGGTAACGCCACTGTCCCTACAAGTGACTAAAGAAGACGAATCTGATTGGACAAAAATTAAATGCTTAAAAAAACAAAAGACGTTTCAAATAAAACATATACATCAACATTTATTTTTTAATTAAGTGAGATAATACAAATTGTGTTCGCACTTGAAGACAACGGTATGCGCGCTGTCTGGGTCCTAGCAGTTGTACTCCACACGTGCAGTTACGTTTCAGATCGTGGGTGTTGTGGAAGAAGTACTCACCTACAGTGTGGCATTCCCCGTCGCTGGACCGGCATTCTGGGGACGTATGGAGGTTAATTAGATTAGGTGTGGGGGTAGGTCATGGTAATTGGGTGTGTGGGGTGGTACTGGTAATTAGGTGTGGGGTGGGTAATGGTAATTGGGTGTGGGGTGGGTACTGGTAATTATGTGTGGTGGTGGTACGGGGTAATTGGGTGTGTGGTGTGGGGTGGGTACTGGTTAATTGGGTGTGTGGTGTGGGGTGAGTACTGGTAATTGGATGTGGGTCGGGTACTGGTAATTGGGTGTGGGTGGGTACTGGTAATTGGGTGTGGGGTGGGGTACTGGTAATTGGTTGTGGGGTGTACGTAATTGGGTGTTGGGGTGGGTACTGGTAATTGGTGGTGGGGTGGGTACCTGGTAATTTGGGGTTGATGGGGTGGGGGTACTGGTAATTGGGTGTGGGGTGGGTACTGGTAATTGGTTGTGGGGTGGGTACTGGTAATTGGTTGTGGGGTGGGTACTTGGTAATTGGGTGTGGGGTGGGTGACTGGTAATTGGTTGTGGGGTGGGTACTGGTAATTGGGTGTGGGGTGGGTACTGGTAATTGGGTGTGGGGTGGGTACTGGTAATTGGATGTGGGTGTCGGGTACTGGTAATTGGGTTGTGGGGTGGTACTGGTAATTGGTTGTGGGGTGGGTACTGGTAATTGGGTGTGGGGTGGGTACTGGTAATTGGGTGTGGGGTGGGTACTGGTAATTGGGTGTGGGGTGGGTACTGGTAATTGGGTGTGGGGTGGTACTGGAAATTGGGTGTGGGGTGTGGGGGTGGGTACTGGTAATTGGGTGTGGGGTGGGTACTGGTAATTGGGTGTGGGGTGTGGGGTGGGTACTGGTAATTGGTTGTGGGGTGGGTACTGGTAATTGGGTGTGGGGTGGGTACTGGTAATTGGGTGTGGGGTGGGTACTGGTAATTGGGTGTGGGGTGGGGTACTGGTAATTGGGTGTGGGGGTGGGTACTGGCAATTGGTGTGGTTAGCTCATGGTAACTATGTTTCTTCCAGACTTTTTTCTCCGGGGGTGAAAGGGGGGGGGGGCTT